TTTTGATGCCCCTTCTCAGATTTTCCCGCTGAAGAGCCTTAATGACCACAAGCTAAGCTATCATTTAATTGTCCCTAAGCTAAAAACAACCGACCTACCGGTATCTAGCTATCTCTTATCGGGGCTATCACAACCCATAACACCCCCTGGACCCCCACTCCTATGTTGCCTGATTAGCCTCCCCACGGCGTCCAATGCACTTCGAACGATTGATCGATCGGCTCACAAAGAAGTTTTCCGTGGTTTCTCCCGAGGGGCGGACTTGAACTTCACCTGGTGGGTGGTTGCGTTTTTGTATATGCATGGGAAAATAGTCTTTGGAAACCGGTGGATTCTGAGATGATCTCAAATGATTGTCCCCAGCATCTCTATGCCCACATAAATAGGCTCGCATGGCAGGCAACACCTCTCGTCAGGTCTGGGTGCATGGTGTTGGTGTCATTGGTGTTACAAGATGTGGGATGCGGGGTTGCGATCGGTTGCTGTGCAGATTTGGGTGAACATTAATGTCCTAGAATGTGACATATAGACTACATAATTGCCCTGCATTGTAGCTGTGTAACTATGTAGCAGTGTAGCTCAGACTTTTGTGTTAATTTGCCCGCCATACAAATTGTATGAGATCAATTTCATGTAGGTAGGTTTCGTGTTAAGTTTCTCTGCATGCATTATACACTATGTTTTGCCTGTTCTTCACTCCGATAACTGGTCCCAATATTTATTCAGAGTCCTTGCTTTGGAGTCGGGAATAATTTATTGTCCGTACTGTTGGTATCAGGAGAGTGCGCTCATATTGGTTGGTTTTAGCGTTTGTTAGCACATGATCCTTTCAGGGCCTTGATTACTGGTCCAAATTGAAAGTCCTGAGGCTTTTGGCAAGTAATAGAATCTGATAACGGGAGATCAGTAAATGGTCATGCGTACCAGTAATTACAGACAGTATAGTACACGTAGTAGCTAGAAAAGAAACGAAAACCCTGTAGATCATAAGGGTTCGTACATATACGGGGAAATTTCTGATTTCATGATGATCAGATTCGCAATTGAAAAACCATTTGTTATTTATCCCAACCTCTGCGACACCAGTATTAATCAAGCTTTCATGGACTCTAGCAAAGAGTTAGGATGTCAATGAGAAACACTGAGTACATAATATTAAATCAGGAGGGGTTTCTCCGTGCTGTTGCGATGCATCCTTCACTTTCCTCGAATTTCTTTCACACATAGCCAAAACAAATTTCTTATCAGATTCTTCGCCATGCCCATATGCCTGAGGAGTTTCAATCTCGCCTAGAGTTATGCAGTTCTTAAGGTACAATCCGGAAACTATCGGCGACCCCTGCATAATCTAAACGTGAGACATAGTAGATACTTGTAGTAGGAAATGACCAGCCAATCGCTGCGCAAAAAGTGGGGTCACGGATACTTTTCCCAGTCAAGTACATAGGTACGGGCTGCGGCAGCCAATCTCACATCCAGGCTGCATCCCTTTCATTCGTGATGTGTTGGGATGTTATAGGACTCAACCTGAGCCAATGAAAGAGCAACCAGAGAGCAATGAATTGATTGACTTTCTCACCGTTTCAGATTGCTCATCATCAAGAGCTCAGATGCTTCTTAAAAAAAAAAAACCTCAGATGCAATAACGAGTTGTTAGCTGCGGCGGGTAGGTATCTGCTCGAGATCTCATAGCGAGTTAGCTGTCCGACCGGACATGGGGATGAATCGCGCATCGAAATTACAATAAGAAATAGTTGTCAAACAACCCCCCTGAAGTTATAAGTGTGATCTTTGCCAAAATTGTGAGCGTACAATATTATACTGTCAGTTTCTAGGCAACCCAGTGATCACTAGCGGTTACACTCTCCAACAAAAATTACTAAAGTAGATACACGGCGGTATAGTTCCGTGTCAACGGCCTCAAGTGTATTGTACTCCTAGAATCCATGTTGAAACCATTCCTCACCTACTATCTCCACGCAAAGGGTGTTCAGAGCTGCTGCAAGTTGGCTAAAGCATACCGTTGCCAAACAAATTTGCATGAGAAGGGACTTGTTGACAACCGCTTCGACCATATTTTTAACACCCTACCCAACGCAGATCTAGTTTAGTTGGTCAGATTTCTTTAGTATCAGAGGAATAGGTATTCTTGTAATAATTCCAGAGGTAGAACTTCCTCATTGCTTCGTTTGATCCTTTATGATTTTTTTAAAAAGTGGCGGTTTTGGTGTAATCTAAACTGACAATGGCAGGACAGTAATGGCCTAACACTCTACATATATAACACTGTGTGTGTTGTCCTGAAACCACAACGTCAGGCTGCGTGGTAACTCACGCAGAAGTTCTCCCACTAGTCCTCGTCATTCGAAACTTGGTGGCGCTCTAGAAAGCTAATATCTCGTGTTCGTTCACGGTTTGACTAGTTGTCACGTTTTCTAGCACGCATTTCTCTACGAGCAGCGGCAATGAAAACGCACCTTCCCCAAATTGCGGGGTATACCCCTGTGAACGGCCGTGGGGGTGTGGCCTTACCTGTGGAGTTTCTGGCTGGTGGAATCTTGTCTATTTTGAGCGATCCCCTACAAATAACTGGCCCAACATTCCGCGATATCTTGGGCTTACTATTGGGGATTTTCTCGCCAAGTCGCAGGGATAATTACCACGTCAGGGCATATGATGTCCATATCCACTTCGGGTCGAAAACCTCGATCTGTGCTGAATCATTGCGATTGGAGAGATGGCCCAATCCCCGGGTTTTGCAAAGACCCCTCATTCACCTCATCCATATATTACGACAATTCCTTTTTGCAGTCATGACAGTGATATAGATCTTCCCCAGACGACTTTCGTTCTGAGAACATTTCTCTCAAAAGGTCACTATCGGTAACCTCCCTTCCGCTCTAACATAACAATGGACACCTTTAATCTCGTTCTTTTGACACTTCTACACCTGCTTTTGTTCTCACACACGGCAGAATGCACGTATCCTACAGTACGCAAACAATCTGTATTTCAAGCGTTGCGTGCGAATGGACTTGAAGCTTATGCCGGATTCCTTGAGCAATTCCCTCCTACGGAGATAAGTGAGAATATAGAGATTACCCTATTCGCGCCCACAAACGAAGCCGTGAAAGCCTATGTAGCAGCAAACCCTGTCGACAAAATTCATCGCCGAGACGCAGCAAAGAATATGCAAGCAAATCTAAATAACATTAGGCGAGGTCCCATTGCCATGGGGGGTATACGAGCTAAAGGTCAAGTGGTTACAACTGGTAGAGGGAGGTCCAGTGGCAACAAGGTTGCCCAGCCCGCCAGAGCAGGAGGTGGGAGGGGGAGGGGTGGTTCTGGCGGAAGAGGGGGATCGAATGGTAGAAGAGCTAGGAATCTCAATCTGGATGAGGGATCTCAAATCTATATTGCGACAATTACCGCAGGCGGTGGGGTACGCACAAAGGTCTTACAGAATTCGTTCCCATTTGATAACGGTATCATCTATAAAGTAGACAGGTATGTGGTGAAAGTGGCATTGCTATGTTTTCTTGCGTGCACTTGGTTTACGAATGCACATGATACACAACTGACATGTCTTACGGTGCGCCTTTACAGCTTTTTTAATCCAACCGTTGACTTTGGTACCACAATCACCGCACCTAGTGATTTCAATTTGACCTATCTCAGAAAAATATTTGACAGAATGCCCCACGCTCGAGATAAATTATTCGGAGCACAGGAAATCACCTTCCTCGTCCCAACCCAGGAAGCATTTGATAAAACTGGGCTTAATGTTCACACATCACAAACCTGTGATTTACAAGAATATCTAGATAATCATACTATCACAAGTGGATTCTTGGGTTATACACCATCGTTTGAGGATGGAAAATGCTATACAACTGATGGTGGGAGTCAATTTTTCCCCAAATTTAACGGAACTCACACGTTACTCAATGATGCGGTTATTGTTGGAGAAAACCACATCGTTGCGACTGGTGTAATCCAGATTATTAACAAGGTATGCCCGCATTATTTGTCCGACATAAAAGATTCTGCTGATTTCTTCCCACAGGTTCTCTGCTGGCCTCCAAGCAAATGCACAGCTTGAACCTAGACCTCAGTCCCGACATCATAATTTAGATACGGTAGATATGGCGGGATAACGGCGTTGTTCTTACTAGTGGAGTTAAGGGATCATACTGGCTGGGGGTGTATTTTAAGGAGGCATTTTACTATTCGATATCTATCCTCGATTTTTTCTTTTCCTGGGTTAGCATTATGAAGAAATAATATGAGTGATTTTGACATCGCAAAGATACGAAAAAGCAGAGTGATACATGAAAGTCCTGGAGACTGATCAAGACAACTCAAGCGCTGTCAATGTTTTGGCATCTCAGCGGCGAACAGCCGTGGCCAGCTTTGCCAAGTATCGGTTTGCATGTGAGAAATGATGTTTAGTACAAATCAATAGAAGACCTATCTGGATGAGACCTGATCGAAGACATTACGAGCTGGTGTGTAAAGCCGGAGACTGTCAGCCGCAGTGGGATTCGGAATCTGAAGGGGGGTAGATTTCAATGGGTTATATATCGGAAACGGAACTGTAGCAAATGATCCCTAAAATCGAGTGAGGCTTGCCATATACATACATATCGATAATGCAACACTCATTCATGTGTTATTCTTTTCCTGTAACATGGGTTACTCTCCTCTTTTGGGAGAGCCAGCGATAATGATGCGGCCTCCAACCCGCAAACCGCGGAGAAAACTCGCCGTAGTTACTTCGGTTGAACATGTTATGTAGCAGTTCATAGAAAATGAGCAATTCATTAATTCATGTACACGAGTACTACCCGACATCTACCACCCGGCATGGTTATTGGTTTCCACCCTTTTGATCCAGATGAGTGAGAGAGGGAGGCTGTGATATTTGTCGGAAACGCATGTTTATCATAATGTTAGGTTATGTCATTCTCATATTGGCACAGGTAATTATTTACTAATGATCTCTGGTAGTATAGTGGTAAGTATTCCCGCCTGTCAATCTGACTGAACGCGGGCGACCGGGGTTCAATTCCCCGCCAGAGAGTTTCTTTTTCTTTTTTTCTTTCTTTTTAGTCAGCCACCTGTTGTAGGTAAGTAGTTAGTACAGTAGAATGTACCTAGCTGTGGAGGGGATTGTGCCAAAATAGTTGCATTCAAATCCCTAGTATAGTGACTCTAAAATAAATAAATAAATCGAATCATATATAGTGTACTAGTATGACAGCAGTTAGTACTGCTTTGTCACCATTAGCTCCTTAGATACATACATACTTATATACTTAGTATTCAATCCATGAACCTAACGATCATAAGACCTATGACGAGCATGGACATTACAGTAGAAAGTGAAGGCTAAGACCTGATAAACAAGAATGTACTGTTAGTACCTTTAATATTACAAGGCTCATATACTCAAGGGATTGTTTACACAAAGTGCTCGAAGGCATGCATGTATGAACTTGTACATTAAGCAAAAGGTGGGAATTGGGTGGGAGTTTGCAAATCCCCTCATAACTGAATCGGAGCCGCCGGGACCTGTAGGGAGTGACTGTTCCCGTGTATGCCAGCTTCGGTCTCCAGCATACAACAGTTTGCAAAATGAGATTCTCGTATAGCGTGCGATTCATAACTATTAATATATTGTCCCTCTTTTCAATATTAATTAGGAACCTTTCCAATTCATAGCTGGCGTCCGTACTTCCTAATTTAAATATGACCATTACCGTGGATCCAGACTTTTTTTTTTTTTTTTTTTTTTGAAGTCTATACGTCTAAGCTAGGGAAAGAGCTGGAGCGAAAGCATGGTCACGTGGCCTAGTTTGCATGTGAGTTTAGGAGTTGGGAAAAATAGCGGCTAACATATCTTCTGTCATACAGGCCAACAGCTGTTTCCAATTGCAACCACCCACAGCTCTAATATAACCATCCGACAGAGGTACTCCTCATACGCCCCTTGCTCTAATGGCATCTAAATATACCGTGCTGAGTGCCTGTACGTACGGTGAGTGGGTGGTGAAATGCATAACACCCGGACCAGGGGCCAATACCATCCGTTAGGGGCACATCCACTGCCGAGGTGAGCTCATCTATGTATATCCATACGCATAGAGCTTGATGTTCAATGTTCAGGTCGAGTCGTGATCACTGATGGTCTAGATAAGTTACCAACAAACCTTTGCCCAATCCTTAAATCCACCGGTAAGTCCCCCATGTTTATACGAGTACTGTAATAATTTTGTTAGCAAAAAAAAAAACTTTTCATCAACGGACCCAATATATCCTATTCCCAACCATTAATTAACTGACTCATGGTCTTTTCCAGTGATCGATCTGGTCCCTCCGGAACTGTACAACTAGGGATTGATTGGTTACCAGACTAGGAATGATGTAGAAGCAACTAAACTGAATATGTGAGGAGAGGTGATGGAGGAAACTCCTTGGTGGGAAGACGTGAGGTTATAGAAGTATTGGTCTGAGGCATTTCTTATCAATAAGCTTAAAGTACCTCAGTCGGCAATTGCTGCAAAATTAATTCGGCTTCCTGCCTAATATGGCTTACTATAGTTGTACTTCAGTTAGATATAGATGAATTGTTGAACGACGTTCTATGGGACAACACTAGGGACGCCTAATGGGGATTATCATGGGGTTTATCCACTCTCCTTTTCTTTCACTCTCGTTCATCGCTAGAATCATGCATACTTATACATTCACTATCAGTCTTCACTATGGATAGATCTTCTAATACATATTGTGATGTATCCAAGACAAAAAGGAAGATTCGAGTTCTTAAGATAACTTCTTTTTCTTTTTGTGAGTTCTTCATATGTCTTATCACGAATATATTCTTATATTGGGTATGCTTGAAACGGGAGTGTGCTGTGCCTAGACAGAAAGTATCTCATGTTGTGAGTACGCTAAGTAATATACCAACCCGCACTCCCCTTGTGTTCCATTTCTCTTCACCTAATACCTTTGTACTGATTGCTCGTATCACACAACTGCAAACTCACTCACAATCTGGGGAGGCATAATACAAGCATACCTAGTAGTGCAATATCACCTGCGGCCCTGCATCCTCAAGTTTAGTGTAAGCTGACACAGGCGACCTAACTCCTGCATTCTCTGCTCGAGCCGGGGAGGTGAAACACAGATCGGAGTACTGTCATCCAAAGAGCTCTGTAGACCCTCTCTCTGAGTAGTATCCGTTACTTGTACTCTGAAAACAATATCTTAAACCAATCTACACCAACCAATCGCATACATGACTTGAGCATTCCGGAAAAGAGCGGACCATGTTATAAGAATGTCCAAATATTCACCTTCTTTGGGGCCCGGGGCTAGTGTGGGAATATCCAGACCATATTATATACCTCTATGGATTCATATACCTGGAGAGGGTACTTACTCTACAACCTTACGCACCTAGGTTCAAAATACTTCAGCACCAACTCGGGTGGATGCAGCTGGACATGCTATTAGCTCACAACACAGAAGAAAATCATAATCTAGGCTCAAGGTCTTGAATGTTTGACCTGCGATCGAACTTGATACACCTCGCCGTGTAAGGTCGGTACTTGTATGCAGGATGTGTTCGAGTCTATCTAGAATCTAAAGACTAAATACACGTTCCGCCTGGAGAGCTAGTCTCGACATGACCCAAAGGAGCTAGTCTCCTTGACGGGAGCCAATCTCCCGTGGCATGTGGGGATGCCGCATCCTTACATCTTCCCCCCTCCCGATGTAAGTCCGACCCGGACTTTTCTTCTACTAATTACATTCTCATCTAATCCTTCAGCCTTTGCGGGGTCCTCCTCTTTCTTCCCGATCTCCTTGGGCCTTCCTTTCCTTTGAGGTCTTCTTCTTGTGTTTCAGCTATCCCATCTGCTGTGATATCCTTCGTTTTCCTGATCTCCTCCCGTTCCGGGTTTTCCGTATCTCTCATCCATATCTTGCTCCTTTCTCTGAATTCTTTCAGCAGGCTTCTATCCTTTCCTAGCATATCTGCTTCTTCCCATGCAGCTTCTTCTTCTTCCTCACCTTCTCTCAAGCAAGAGACCTCCTGCCTGTTGTTCCACAGTCTTTCACCCAGTATCCTCTTCAGTTTCTCCTCCGTTTGGCCGTTCACTAGTGTCGGGGGTTCTGGTGACCCGTTTCTTCTCATGTATTTCCGTAGGTATTCTATAGACACTACGTCGTGCATTTTTGATCCCTGTGGTACTTTTATTCTGTATGATACTAGTGACACCACCTCTACCACCTGGACCACTTCTGCTGTTGGATCCAGCTTGTTCCTCCTTTGTAATCGCAGACAGGCCAGATCGCCGGGTAGGAATTCGATGGGGGCATGTTTGCCATCGTAGTATTTCTTTTGGTATGCTTGTGCTTTCTTTAGTGCAGCTTCTGCCTCAGTTCTTCTTTTAGACAGATTTGCTGACATCTCCTCTACCGTCAGTAAGTGTCTGAAGTTTTTCTGGGTCGCTTTGCTTCCAAAGTTTTGTAGGGGTTACCCGTATAGTAGCTCAAAAGGGGTTTTCTTGGTTGATAGATTGATACACGAGTTGTGTGCGAATTCGATAGCTGGCAAGAGTTGCACCCACTGCTTTCTTGACTCCAATATCATTATTCGCAGTGTTGCTTCTATCGTTCTGTTCGTCCATTCCGATTGTCCATTCGCTTGGGGGTGATAGGCTGTTGTCATCGCCAGCTTTGTTCCGGCTAGAGACATCATTGTTCTCCAGAACCCCGAAGTGAATCGTCTATCATAATCACTGATCATCACCAAGGGGATGTCCCATATCGCGAAGACTGAGTCGAAATATCTCTTTGCAAACTTTTCGGCTGTATCTGATTTCTTGCATGGGATGAGTCTCACTGCCTTTGTGTATTTGTCCGTGCATGTTGCGAGGGAGTTGAAGCCTTTTGCTGATGGTAACCCTTCTACGAAGTCCACGCATATCGATATATCATGTGAAACGGGGCTACTGCTATGATGGGTTGCATGACTCCTGGTTTTTTTGACGTGTTTGTCTTAACTATTTGGCATTTGTGGCATAAGCGGCAGTATATCTCAATATCTTTGGCTATTCTTGGCCAAAAGAGTCTTTCTTTTGCTTTTTCCAGGGTTCTTTTATATCCTGGGTGACCCATCTCATCATGTAGTGCCTGAATTGCCTCGATTCTGCAGTTTTGCGGCATGCAGATTCTGTCAGCTCCTTCGTTCACCTTCAGAAGGATTCCATCTTTGCTCCATTTGAAACTATCAGTCTCTTCTGTCTCGTTTCTGTCTATAGAATGCACATTCTTAGCTCGTCCCAACTGCTCTAGAGCAGCCACACTTTGAGTAGATATATTCTCTGCTTTCCCACTCAGGTTGGTGACATCAACTCGGCCCAGCTGTTTACAGATAGTCACACTCTGAGTCACTTTTCCCTAGTTAACTCTTCTTTGCTCAATGATCTCAACTCGGCCCAGCTATTTGGGAACAGTCATACTCTGAGTCATCTTCTTCAGTCCGGTGGGCTCAGCTTGTCCCAATCAGTCATAGGTGTTCCTGCCCTGAGTTGTCTCCTCTTTTGTCTTCTCGAGTTGATTTTCTTTCCCTTGTATATATCCTTCGAAGGTGTCATCTGTTTTGTAGGAGGACCTTATTTTGTGTAACAGGTTAGAGGTCAGTGATGAGATGGTAGTCATAAATGTGCGTATATATGGGTGTCTTGACAGGGGGTCCACATTGGAGTGTATCAGTCCTGGTCTATATACATTCTTCATCTTGTTTTCCATAGGGCCTAGTAGCATTGCCCACTTATGCAAGCGTGAGTTTGTTGACTGTTTGATAGACCACAGCCATTGTAGTGCATGGTGGTCGGTAATTACTGTTAGTGAGGAACTATCCAGATAATGTGACAGTTTGGTGAAGGACCAGTATACTCCTAAGCATTCCAGTTCTGTTGCCAAATAGTTTTTTTCTGCAGGGGTGAGTGATCTTGAGATGAATAGGATTAGGTGTTGTTTTCTATCTTCCTCACATTCTTGTTACTGTAT